ACTAACTCATTTGGAATTATCCTAAAAACACTTAATTACTCTTAAATACAAATGGTTTGTTGTAATTTAGTAATAGAAAACAAATCATTAAGTATGAAAGTACAATTATTAAACACATTATATAGGTGTTTACAGGTCAAGAAATAAGCATTTGTAGCTGCAGTTATAAACTACTTACTAACGCTTATTAATGTAGAGTTAATGCTTAACAGATAATGAATTCAATATTTGCTCATGCTTAATAAATAATTTATAGTGTGTAGTTATTATAAAGTTGTAAGAGTTAAAATATTGCAAATATTTTGATATCTTTGACAATTCAAAACATGAGCTGAAAACAGAGACTGGTGACTCCACAACCCAGCAGGTGGGAATGCGGGAAAAACCAGTTCCTGCTGCATTCGCATCTGAGTCTGCTGAAACTCGGATTCATCCACCCCATCTCACACATATGGTCATTTCAATGTTTGAATGTTCTAGATTAACCAAACTGACTTTAACTATCATGTTTGATATCAATTGAAATGTCTCAGTGCGATTGGTACAATGGTCTCATTCTCTCAGAATTAGACATAATTAAAACAATAAATATATAACTTCAGGCATCTTTTGAACCACTGTAAAGGGTGTGACTTTTCCACTAAGTGTGAATGCCTTTTGTTATGCACACACCCCCTTCCTTGAGGGAATTCTAGAATTATTTAAGGTAAGGTTTGAGAAAGGCTCAGGGCGATTCTGCCTAACCAGATCAGCCCATAACATGGCTTGCTCCATGTTATGTATATTTTTGAAGTCAGGAATGCATCTTTTTCATCTTGGATTTGTCTTTGATAATTTGATGTGTTATATTGATCATTTATGAATTGACTGATTGAATTGGCATAATACATTTACCTGACTAATAAATTGTTATGTTTTGAATTTTTCAAACAGAGTTCGTGTTATTATCTCTAGTAGATTGCGGTAATTTCATAGCACCACAAGCCCCTGTACAGGTTAGTAGCGGACTAGAACACGGTAGACGGAGCATTGCGGCACGCTATACGATGTCTCTAGAGCTCTGACTAACACATTGGCATTAATTCATGTATACTTAGGCTGTAAAAGGATATCTAAGGGGATAGTCCTTCACCCGATAAACTTATAATACTATTTAGATAGTATAGTGATTATTCAAAGTTTCTAATAGTTTAAGTACGACTGGTCTGCTTAATTCTATAGTAATGATCATTATATGATTAAATAGCTCTGTTTGATTTAGGAGGTAGCAGACCTATGGGGACCGCATAAAAAATATCTTAATCTGAGTAAGTAGGGTTCTGCCTTTTTAGGATAGCGGTCAATCGCCACTGTTTAATGACCAAGACTGACATGCTTGTGCTTAAGAAATTGTATACTCGGCCGACACAAGATTCAGGATGTTATAGGAATCCCAATGAACGAGAATAACATAAAATGATGAACCGCAGAGAATATTCAATCATAATCTAAATTAATGTGAACGGAAACAAAATAACCTTCTCAATGTTTTATAATTGGAGTCAGATAAAACGAGGATAAATATATTAATATTCTAAACCATCTCATACTAAAGTTGGAGTCAGATATGAGCTAAGTTTAATATAAATTAACATTGTGCACTGGAAAGACCGAACATGCAGTGAACCTTCATCCATCATTGGATACCGTCATTGGACCAACTAGCTGGACCTTACAAAATGGTGACCCATCTCCGTGATCTCCCAACTCAGGCGAGTTACATCTTTCCAGCACAAAATGGATTTATATCAAGCAAGAGGTTTGGATCTTCTATTCTATCTTCAGCTGCTGTGGTAAGTCAATTCTTCTTTGCCTATTAGAAATGTTGAGGGAAAGCGAGACGCACCCTATATAAACACATTGATAGAATGAGTCGGAAATGCTCAAAAATGTTAGACCGGAATGCGTTATCCGGTGGGGTTGAGAATTAGACAAAACCACTTTGATTATCAGGGACATGATAGCAGCAGTATATAAATGCCCTCCCTTGCTCTGAAATATCTCTTTGTCTGCTAGGCAGCAAGAGTTGAAGCTTAAAATTGGAATAACATCATCCAAATTATATTCTGGAACTCAGTGGAGAGTCATAAATTAGATTCTAAAAGTTTAAATCAAAAACTGTCCATTGTTTTTAATCTACTGTTTTATAAAAAAGAGAAAAATGGAAAAAAGAGAAAAAAGGAAAAAATGGTTAAAGATTTAAAAACAATTGTAAACTTTTAAATTGGATTAATAACAACAGTCTGTTCTAAGGCATTTGCATGTGGAAAAAAAAAGGTGAGCAGAACAGAATGATTTGATTAAAAAAAAGACAAATAGGCTCTAATGAAAACTTTACAAATCAGAAATTTGCCATTTAAATTTAATGGTGATAAATTCAAATATGATGCTGATCAACTAAAATATCCACTATACTTTAATTTAATCTCGAATCAGACTAAAAATAAAAGATAGAAATTAAATTCTAAGAGAAGACATTTTAGCTTTTAATCAGCTCTTAGACCTCCTGATTGCTCAAACCTTTTCATATTCAAATGGTCTGACAGAGAGCAAAGAAATTTCACCTCAGTGATAAAAAGATACTCAGAATGTGTTTGCTGTATTTGCATATAAACAATTAGGCTACATTCTTCCATTTGGCCATAAGCCTTTGCTGACCCGTTTGTTCTCCATGCAACCTACAGGCAAACACAGCTCTGATCACAAGATAAAAGCATTAAGCTAAAATGAACTGTTGTTCTGAAACACTCTCCAGAGACCAAATATAATTATATTTAATACATACTATTTTTAATATAACATAATTACATTAGGAATAAACAATAATGTACATTATATTATAATCGCCAATCATGGCACTAAAGACCAAAGATGAAACATTCACCTTGAGGAGGTTTGCTTTCTTTATGCTTTAATGAAAACACAGACAGAACTACTATAGCATAACTGATTGTAAACCAAATAAATCCTCGCTGAAAAACACCGCCTACAATTAAAATTTGATCAGAGAGTTAAACTCACCAGAAAAATAATGAAAGGGGGATGGATATGATAACATTCAGAGTTACCAAAGTTTTTATGGGTCAAAAGATCTAAGAATCTGTGAGTCACACCATAAAATGAAAACTGTTAAGCAGAGAACACCAAAAGGGTGAAATGATTTCTGCCAACAGATCTGACTGTTAATGAGAGCAAAAAATGAACTATGGGTATCGGCCCATTAGATTGTGAACTGAAATTAGTGAAAAATCATTAATTGATTCAGAAAAATGTCCCCAGCGGAACTAGGAGATAATGCTCAGAATACAGCAGACTGTGTAAACTCCACAGCGAGAGCAGTTTTCAGGTGTTACACAATCACAATGTGCTGAAATCAACGACAGCAATTCAGATCTGACCAACAACATCATGTGGCTTCCAGAATTAATATTGCAAGATGATGCATTAACATTAATTCCACATGATTGAATTTGAAACTGATAAAAATTCTAAAATTAACTATGGGTCTCTCTGCTTTTGTTCTCATCTTAGGCGGACCAATAACAAAGAACACTCCAGATCCAGCCCACTTCAAACATATACAAATGAGGGCGACAAAAGGTTAGGCCATAACCTGAGAGGCCAAAAGTCTTCCATCTTGCATCTCAAAGCAAGAACCCCTGTGAGGCAAACACCTCACCTGCAGTTAGTCCTCTGAAAAAGTCTTTGATCAGTCATCAGAATAACAATTATCCACAGCTGATCTTATCAATGGATTCAGCATTGTAGGAGGCTTTGTGATTTCACAAAACATCTTTCTTCAACTAAGATGTAAATTATTACATGTTAAATGAAACAGAGGCACAAAAAGATCTTATAGTTGAAATAAAAATACAAAACGTCATGCTTCCCAAATTGCTAAATAGCAATGGGACTAAAAGCCTGGTTACCTAGAGGCAATAAGAAATTCCCTCTATTGTTCCTGCAAGACCAATAGCAACAGACTCTAGTGATACGGATCCTGGTGGCATTTTTTAAATTTGTTTTAATACTATACACATGTTAAACCACATGTCCTGTATGAAAATGGAATTACTATGTTGAAGTTCATGATAATTGTTTCTTTGATCTCCAAAAGTAGAAAACTCTGCTGAATTGATTACCATTGTTCGGAGCATAGCACTAACACATAGCCACAGGTAAACCCAGGCACATAGATAACACCTTAGTCTTCAAAGACCCAGGAGTCAAATCTCCTTAATTAAGATCTTTTGTCCATGTTTATACAAACAAAACACATTAGCCTCACACACATAGAACAGAATAATTAATCTGATGACAGACAAGACAAAACACCCTCTAACACCCTCTGTCAGCTGACAAGAAATTACAAATTTGCATGGCTTTGAGAACAAATTGATGGTATAAAATTTCAATAGAGGCGAACTTGCCAATAAATTCAAGAATTGATACATTGACTGTTATAGGGATGGTTGACAAACCAGAGGGCCCCTGGTTTCCCAATCTATCACCAATAACAGGAATAAGTGCTAAAGTGATTAAAATTAAACCTGAAGTGAGGACACTTCTAATAATCAACTAGGAAATTTTAAATGTGACAAATACCATCAATTGTGTTCAAGCCTATACACACACACACACACAGACACACCCACGAACACACACACACACACACGCACACACACACACACACACGCATAAACACACACACACACAGACACACCCACGAACACACACACACACACACACACACACACACACACACACACACACACACACACACACACACACACACACACACACACACACACACACACAGAGTTTTACCACATTTTGTCACTAGGACAACTATTCACATTAGGAATCTTCATGAATACAAATCCAGGTATAGTAGTCAGTAATCTAGCATTATCTGTAATAGTCACTGATTTTAGCAGCTATAAACACAATAATACACTTACCATTTTACCAGTGTCCCCTGGATTTCCGGGGTCTCCCTGCGAGGGACAAAACATATACTTAGCAAAAACTGTTAATAAGAACTGGCATGAAAACAATACCAAATGCTATTTCATTAATTCAATAGCTCCCAATCAGAATAGACATATACTATATTGGCATAATGTTTGGGAACCCACTCCAAATCAATGCATTTACATGTTCCATTTACTTCCATGTCCACAGGTGTGTAAAATCAAGCACCTAGGCATGCAGACTGGTTCTAAAAGCATTTGTGAAAGAACGAGTTGCTTTCAGAAGATCATTGAATTAAACTGTGGTACCCTAATAGGCTGACACCTCTGCAATAAGTCAATTAAAGAAATTTCCTCACTAATAAATATTCCACATTTTAATGTTGATGGTATTATAACAGAGTGAAAGCAAATTAGAACAAAAGCAATTTTAGACGTGAAGACACCAACAAATCAACAAAACTTTCTGCATAGTCAATAGCCATAGAACAGTGAGTAGAAAAGTTCATGGAATGGGTTTCCATGAGTAAAATAATGTAAAGTAAAATGACCAATCATGCTTATCTGTCTGGCAAGTCTGGGACTGGTGGTTGTTAATAGTGATTTAGCATATCAAGAGATTTTAAACAATTTCATGCTACAGAACACCTTTGGTATTTATTAGAGATGACACTGTGAGCAGGGCCATCTCATCCAACATCAGTGCCTGTCTCCACAAACGCATTTCTAAAATAAACATGGTCCAAAATTCCTATTAACACATTAATAAACCATCTGGAAAGCCTTTCCAGAATAGTTGAAGCTGTTAAAGATGAAAAGAGTGGGTCAACTTCAATTTCATCTGCATGAAGAAAAAACCCAAAACTTTGCCAATATTGTGTATATTAAACATCAATGAATAGCATTCCATATGTGTAAAGTGTTATCTTATGAATGTAGAGATACTCACTGGGAGCCCTGGGAGCCCCCGAGGACCATCTTTGCCTGTGTCTCCTGGGGGTCCCCTTGGTCCTGGGGGTCCTGGAGGCCCAGGAGGTCCTGGGGGTCCTGCTTGACCCTGGTCACCCTGGGTAATTAATGTACATGTCAAACATTATTAACCACTAAAAATGCAGTGGAAAAGGGGAAACAGATTGAATATTCACAGAAAACCTTTACAGCAGAACTTGGAACAACTTTTCTCAAAAATCAAAGCATTAAAATGAAAAGCTTTAGAATAAGACTTCTGACAGTTCTATATTAATCATGACAGTTATGATGGTACAGTTCAGCTCTACTATGAGGACCCTCTATCACATTTTTGCAACATAACTATATTATTATTATTATTATTATTATTATTATTATTATTATTATTGTTACATTCTTTTCAACCTTTGCTGAAGGTAACAGAGACTGAGCCATTAACAACAAAAAGAGCTGTCTGTCCTTAGGCAGATCAGTCATATTTGTAGTGTATAAATATCTGTATGCTCAGGTAACTTGGTAAAATTGTTCAGTCACTAAATACTCTAATCATATTAATGAAAGCATGAATTATTTTTTTTAAATTAGGCATTTTAGATTTAATGTATCTAAATTAAACATTTCACCTAAATAAATAATTATCTTTAACTACACAGAACTCATTTATTTTCATTAAACTTGCATCCCTCTCAAACATTTGAGAGAATTGATTGAGTTCCATTTGATTGTTCACAAAATTAAATCAATTCAAATACTAATTTCCTATAAACTTCATCATTTTTACTGCTACAGTTGAAGTCAGAATTAGTAGCCCCCCTGACTTATTAGCGCCCCTGTTTATTTTTTTTCCCCCAATTTCTGTTTAATGGAGGGAAGATTGTTTCAGCACATTTCTAAGCATAATAGTTTTAGAAACCTATTTCTAATAACTGATTTATTTCATCTTTGTCATGATGACAGTAAATAATATTTTATTAGATATTTTTCAAGACACTTCTTTACAGCTTTAAGTGACATTTAAAGGCTTAACTAGGTTAATAAGGTGAACTAGGTAAGTTAAGGTAATTAGGCAAGTTATTGTATAACGATGGTTTGTTCTGTAGACTATCGGGAAAAAAAAAACAGCTTAAAGGGGCTAATAATTTTTTCCGGAAATTATTTTTAAAAAAATTAAAAACTGCTTTTATTCTCGCCGAAATAAAACAAATAGGACTTTCTCCAGAAGAAAAATTATTATCTGAAAATTTCCTTGCTCTGTTAAACATCATTTGGGAAATATTAAAAAAATTAAAAATATATAAAAAGGGGGCTAATAATTCTGATTTCAGCTGTATGCTATTTTAAAAGTATGTTAGTTTAGCAGAGTACTGAGAAAAAAGCTGAAGTGCAGAGGAAATGATGGACCTATAAAGAAACCCATTCTTACGGAGCAGTAAGAAGCAGAACAGAATAAGGACAAGCACTACCTTAATGAGTCGACGTTTAATGAGTTGTTGATCAGCAGAAAGAAAGCCATGATTTATCTTAGGGAAGACCATCTGAGCGGGTGTATGAGGTCAAAGGTGAGAGAAGTTGGAGAGGAAAGTTTCATGAGGTCCCAGAAAAGAAAAAGAAATAAAAGAGGTACAAAAAATAGATTAGACTGAAATAGTTAGAAGACTCAATCCAGCGCCTTCGTGCATTACCAGAAGTTGACATTTTTAATGGTGGCAGTAATAGAAGTCCTGATTGTGCTTGGCTGCAAATCTGAAATTACTACCATTTCTGGTCTGAGTACATCAGCTTTAAGAAACATGTCAACTTCCACTCACTGAAAGCACTATCATTACTGTTTTCTTTGAAACCAAGGCAGACTCCATGAACTGCACACACTGAAACTAATCATGCACATGTATTTGCTTTTTTTTTTTTTTTTTTTTGACACATGTAAAAGTGAAATTATGAAGACAAAACAAGTCTTTTAATATTGAAATACTAGATGACCTACTAATTCTATGTTGGATTCAAAAGCAAGGGGGTGCAAGAATCATATTTTGGTGGGGTTGGGTGGATTTGTGTCAAACCAAAGTCAGATCCAAATTAATTTCACTACCTTAGTTTAGCATTTAATGTAGTTTTTATTTGTTTTAAGTTATTCCATCCAGGCAGACAGTGGCCAGACAAGGCAGTGGTTAGAATATCAAAATCTTGTTTGTAATGAATCACACATCACTGGTTTATTACGAAAATAAAACAGTTGTTTTGCTGTGAAAGCATAAATTCCTGTCACTGCACTGCATAATAATGACACCCCTGGAACTGGAAAAGAGGGTCATAATGATTGAAAGAATTTTTGATTGGTTGGAATGGATTTGTCAGACACATTATGTTTGGGCCAAGTCTGTCACTGCATGGATACAGGGGATGTGCCCATACAGTACACACATTTCAGTGTGTGTGTGTGTTATCCATAGAGTCTGCCTGGGCTGTGTGCACATGCCAACAAACCTTTACAGTGAGGATTTGATTGTTGTGTAATGCAGCCAGAGCGGGTAAACCAAGAAGTCCCTGGGGACAAACAGCACAAAAATGGCACAATGCAAACACAACACCACAGCTTGAAAGCCATTCACTCCCCAGGACAACATTTAGCTCTTTTTGTATTTATTTTGAGTTGGTTTGTCTCAAAAAGGCAAAACCAAGTTTCTAATTTACAAAAGTGTTTTTATACACTGCTCTGTTATGAAGTCAAGGAAATTTTGATTAGATCTTACAACTGCCACACAGCTCATTGGTAATTATTAGTTATTTACTCTGTATTTCAGTTTGTCAAGATTTTCTGTCTCTAGGCTAACATAATAATGTTTTGTAAATGTATACATTAATTTCCCCTGCAAACTCAGTAGAAGATAATAATACAATTACAAAAAAAAAAAACTCATAAAAACAAAAGGAGATACCAAGTTAATGAGATATTCCCTTAGGCATGTCTTGGGAATAAATTTGGCTTGGCTCATTAAGTAAATGAAGAAAAATAAATAAATAAATAAAAAAACTGCTGAAAAAAATTGTGATAATTTAAAAAGTGCTTTAAAAAGCATGCAATGCTAGCAGAAAATGGGCTTTACTATTTTTACATTCTCACAATTTTATTTCACAACCAGTAACACTTTATAATAGTTGCATAATATGAATCATTTGTTATGAGTTGGCAAGTAGTTGTCGAATCAAATCAAATCGCTTTTATTGTCACATAAACAGCACATGTGCTATGATGAGTGAAAAGCTTAGGTGCTGGCTCCAGACAGTACAAAATACAGAGGACAAATACACGACAGTGCAAATGCAATGACAGTGCAAAATACAACAGCATACTCCCAAACCCCCGGTTTCCCCCACAGTCCAAAGACATGCGATACAGGTGAATTGGGTAGGCTAAATTGTCCGTAGTGTATGAGTGTATGTGTGTAAATGTGTGTGTGGATGTTTCCCAGAGATGGGTTGCGACTGGAAGGGCATCCGTTGCGTAAAAACTTGCTGGATAAGTTGGCGGTTCATTACGCTGTGGCGACCCCGGATTAATAAAGGGACTAAGCCGACAAGAAAATGAATGAATGACAATTTAAGATTGACAGCGATATGTACAATGAATAGGTGTCCACATAGTTGTAGGCAGTGTTGTTTCAAGTATGGATTTTAAGTGCAGTGCAAGCTACATATTGATGGTGTTCAGTGTGGGGTATGGAAGAGTCTGTGTGGGGTGTGTTAAGTGTTCATCAGCCTAATAGTCTGAGGGAAGAAGCTTTTCTTCAGCCAGCTAGTGAGTAATCTGATGCTTTGGAACCGTCTGCCTGAGGGTAGCAGAGAGAAAAATCTATGGCTTGAGTGGCTGGAGTCGCTGATAATTCTCTTGGCTTTCCTCATGCTCCGCCTGGAGTAGATGTCCTGAAGGGAGGGAAGCTCACATAGGCCTATGTAGGCCTTTGCGATTGCTGCTAGTGCTATTTCCATACCAGGTGGTGATACAGCCAGACAGGATGCTCTCCACAAAGCAGGTGTAGAATTAGAGAAGGATGTGTGGGGTTCCAAACCTCTTGAGAGGCCTGAGAAAGAAGAGGCGTTGTTGTGCCTTCCTCAGCACTGGGTCTGTGTGAGCCGTCCATGTCAAATCCTCAGCAATGTGTACTCCAAGAAACTTGAAAGTGCTGACTCTCTCCACTCTCTCCCCGTTCTCTCTCCTGAAATCCACCAGCTCCTTGGTTTTGCTGATGTTGAGTGAGAGGTGGTTTTCCTCACACCTCATCATTATGTGTGATTAGGCCCACCACCGTTGTGTCATCAGCAAATTTAACAATGATGTTGGAGCTGTATAGTCATGTGTGTACAGGGAGTAAAGGAGTGGGCTGAGAACACAGCCCTGTGGAGCACCAGTGTCGAGGATCAGTGTGGATGAGGTGATGGTGTTCATTCTGACCACCTGGCGTCTGCCTGACAGGATGTTCAGGATCCAGTTGCACAGAGAGCTGTTCAGACCCAGAGCCTGGTGCTTCACCACCAGCTGGGCAGGCATATGGTGTTGAATGCTGAGCTGTAGCCCACAAACAGTATTCTCACATTTGTGCTTTTGTTTTCCAGGTGAGACAGACCAGTGCGCAAGGTGAAAGCAATTGAATCATCAGTGGAGAGGTTATTCCTGTATGCAAACTGCAGAGGGTCAGTGTGAGTGGGCAGTGTGAGCATATGTGCTTTTTAATCAGCTTCTCAAAGCATTTGCTGAAGATGGGTATCAAAGCAACTGGACTCATTTAAGCATGTGGTTTTAGCTGATTTCGGTATGGGCACAATAGTGGCTGTCTTAAAGCATGTGGGAACGACGGACAGAGAAAGCAAGAGGATAAAGATGTCCGTGAACACTCCCGCTAGCTGATATGCGCATGCTATAAGTACATGTCCAGGGATGCCATCTGGGCCTGTAGCTTTCTGGAAGTTCACGCGACGGAAGATCTCGTTACAGAAACAAAGAGTGTGCTGGCGGTTTTGGTTTCGGCCACGGGAGCAAGCAGTGTGTGCTATCCTGGGCTTCAAAGCGGGCGAGTTAAGCTCGTCTGGGAGAAATGCAGCAGTGTTTAGAGTGGTGGATTTGTTACTTTTAAAGTCCGTGATGTAATTAAGTCCCTGCCACATGCTCCTTGCGTTATTGGTGTTATATTGACCCTCTACCTTATCTCTGTATTGACGCTTTGCTGCTTTGATGGTTTTTCTGAGGTTGTAATTTGCTTGGTTTTGTTCCTCAGCATTTCTGGATTTATAGGTGGAAGCTCGCACTGATAGGGCTGTTTGAACTTCACCATTGATCCATGGTTTTTGTTTGGGGTAGATACAGACAGTTTTTGTTGGGACCACGTCTTCTATGCATTTCCTGATGAAGCACGTGACTGTGTCTTTGTACACGTCAATGTCGTCATTACACGCTGCCCGATACATGTCCCAGTCCACCTGATCAAAACAGTCTTGAAGTATGGAATCCGATTGGTCCGTCCAGCTCTGAAACATCCTGAGGGTGGGTGGTTCCTGTTTCAGTTTCTACCTGTAAGCAGGCAAGAACAGAATAGTAGAGTGATCTGATTTGCCGTGGGAAGAAGAACAGTGGGAAGGGGAGGGATCTTTATGTGTCCCAGAACAAAGAGTAGCAATGTTACAGAATGCGATTCCCACAGGTGTTTGTGGTGATGTGTTGATAGTATTTTGGAGCGATTTTCCTGAGATTGACGTTGTTATAGTCTCCTGTAACAATAAACCCTGCCTCCGGGTTTGCGGTTTCCTGCTCGCTTATGTTCCCGTACAGTTCCCTGAGCACCTGCTCTGTGTTGGCTTGAAGGGGGGTGTACACAGCCGTAATAATTGCAGCTGTGAACTCCTTCGGTAGCAGGTATGGCCAACACCTAAGTTTAAGATATTCCAGATCAGGAGAACAAAATGATCTAACTGGGTATATGTTCCTCTCATCACACCATGAGAAACAAACACCTCCTCCTTTGCTTTTCCCTGTGAGTTCTTTCATTCTATCCACGCGGTGCACAAAGAACCACGAAAGTTCAACAACTGTGTCTGGTACCTACACATATAGCCTGGTTTCTGTAAGGCAGATAATGCAGCAGTTTCTTGTTTTCCCTTAGAAGGAATTGCGCGTCCATAGCTCGCAAAGTTTGCTGTCCAGTGACTAAACGTTAGCCAGTAGAATGGTGGGGAGCGGAGGTCAAGATCCATGGCGTCTCAATCTAACGAGTACGACGGCTCTCTTTCCTCTTTTCCTGTTGCATTTGCTTCGTCGCTTCGGTTGTGGGACCCAGACAAAAGGCTCTGTTTCTGTGTTTGTAAACAGAGCGAAGTTAAAGAACTCAAAGACCGGTCTTCGATGTGCAACGAGGGAGCCAATTTCCCGAATTGTGTGTCTGTCGTAGGTTATAAGAGTGTGTACATCCAGCACAAAAAATGACAAAAATTCAAGTAAAACACAAAAAACACAACAAAGTTTGCTAGGAGCTTGCAACTCGGCGGC